TTCGGGTTTAGGGTTTTTAAGGTTCAGAGTTTAGGAGTTTTAGGGTTTAGGGTTTAGGATTTCGGATTTCAGGGTTTAAGGACGCAAGGTTTGAAAGTTTAGGGTTTAGGTTTCAAAGGTTTTCAGTTTAGTGGTTCAAGCTTTGGGGTCTAGTGTTTTAAGGTTTAGAGTTTAGGGTTTTAAGGTGTAGGTTTTAAGGCTTTAGGGTATTTAGGGTTCAGTGCGCAGCTCCTATATCTTTTTTCTGAGCATGAAGGAGCGTAGATGACACCCTAAACCCTAAACCCCGAAACCCTAAACCCTAAACCCTAAGCCCTAAACCCCGAAAACCTAAACCCTAAACCCTGAACCCTGGAAGCCGAAAGCCTCAAGCTCTCTTTGTTTCCGGCTTCGCTGCGTGCGGTTTGGGGCTCGCAGTCTCGGTGGGGGGGTTCTAGGTTCGGAGGGTTTAGGGTGAATGGGCTAGTTGGGTTTAGGGTGTAGGGTTTAGGGTGAATGGGCTAGTTTTCGCAGGGTTTAGGGTGAATGGTAGTTCTTAGTAGGAATGAGGGAATGAGCATTGAAATCCTTTATGCTACATGGTGATCCGGTCTCCATCGCATTCCTTCCTGATCACCAGGCAGTGTAGGTTTTGGAGTTTTGGAGTTCAGGGTGGGGGAGTTCGGGGTTGAGATTTTAGGTAAATCCTCGCACAGCTTCAGATGTAAACATAGCCTTGCTGGGGCTTGGAGTGTGGGAGTGAGATGTAGGGGGGACCTCGGCACGGGCTACGGAGTTTGTGTCTTGGGTTTTGCGTTTCAAGATGCATTGTCACGACGTCGATTGTGCTTCTACGGTTGGATGCTTGGGACATCCATCTGCAAATCCTTGAGCCCTAGAACGCCATGAGCCCTGACCCTGATCTGAAACCCCGAGTAAGGCTTCGGTTCCTTTAAGGGTTCGGTTGCTACAGAAGCGGTGGGCTTCGGGTTTCTGGGCTGAAAACAGGGGTTGAGAAGGATATCGGGTTTGGGGTAATAGAGGGGTCAAATAATTACCAATACTACTGTGGGGTTTCCTTATTATTATAGTATTATAGCAGTATAATGGGCCCCCAAAACCCTATTCTAATTATTAAGGCCCCTAAACCTTAAACCCTTATAGTAGCCCTTACAGAGCCNNCCTTTAAAGGAGCCCCCCAAACCCCTGTCTATTATAAAGGCCCCTGCATCAAGCTGCCCTGACCGTGGCAGGAAGTCTTCCTGACGCAGCTTCTGGACATCGGCTTCTTCCATGGCGACCCCCATCCTGGCAACCTGCTGAAGATCACGGAAGGCAGGTAAGGGTTGAGGGTTTAGGGTTCAGGGTATAGGGTTTAGGGTTTAGGGTGCAGGGATTGGGTTCAGGGTTGAGGGGCTGTCC